TTCTGTGATGACGTGGGATGATAAAATGCCTCTTGTATCCTCTCATTAGTATCCTAATGAGATCATGTGAGGGAAATGATGTAAGTGTTAGGTTACTATTGACTTGACAGTTTGTCAGGAGGAGGATCGTCTGCTTCTGGACCTTGGTTGATTACTAGTAACTGAAACCATGGAAAGTGAAATCACAAAGAGGACTGTACAGAAAATAACAGAAATTTATTCATTCAAGAAATGTGTAGCATATTTGTGCTACTTTAGGTTTTGGGAATATAGCTGTGAATCTAAGAGATAAGTTCCTGCACTCATGGAGCTGTTCAGATTGACAAACAAGAGATAGATAATAAACTAGTAAAAAGATTAGAATGATGGTGGTTAAAAGTGCTATGAACATAAAGCAGGTTATGAGATAGGGAATGGGGGTATGTGATAAACTATTTTATATAGGTGATGACTAAGGAAAGGACTCATGGGTAAGTGATATTTAAGCAGGGAACTGAAGAAATAAGGAAGCAAACCATAAACAAGTTAAAGGACCAAAAAGTGCAGTGGCCTGCGGCAAGAGCATGACTGGAGTGTTCAGAAACAGCAGGTCGGGTAAAAGATGCAGACAGAAAAGTATTAGGAGCCAGATCTTGTACAGCCTTTTGGTCCTATGAAGACTTTTACTCTGAAAAGGGTGGGAGACACATGTCAGGTATTGAACAGAGGAATGACACCGTGTATCTTGTTTTGAAAGTTATTGTGGTTGCTGTGTTAGAAGTAAACCACTTGTGAGAGCAGGCAAAGGTATTACGGCAGTAATCCAGGTGAGAGGTGATAGTGACTTAGACTAGAAGAAGTGGTAGGAGTGTGGAGGTGGTGCCAAGTGTTGTGATTGTAGAGACATTGGAAGGTAGGTTGTGGTAGATAGGATGTGGGGTACGAAAGCACCTGGAAGAATAGTTATCATCTACTGAAATGGGGAAAATAGCATGAGGATCAGGTTGTGTTCATGCATTTGTGGGATCATTGAACAGTAGGATAATAATTCAGAGAAAGATTGAGGCTAGAAATAAAATTTGGTACTTAAATTTGATAGATGAAAAAAAGAATTGGTAGATAATATTTAAAGCCCGAGTGAATCACCTTGGGGCTATGTAGAAAGAACTGAACTCATGAGAATTCATGAAACGATGAGCTTTAGATGGGAAATGTAAGAATTAGCACAGATACCAGGAGTGGCCAGGAGGTTAGGTTGAGAAACAGGAGTGAGGACGGACTATGAGGGTTAGAGGGCATGTGATGAGAGGTAACAGGAATCTAGAGCTTCTTCTGATGATTGATACAAACGAGGATAAAGGACAGTGAGTCCTGGAAATGGCATGGAACTGCTGTGTTGTTATGGCAGGTCAGGTTGGATGCCTTCAAGGATGCCGAGGGGGAGAGGTTGATAGATCTGTGTCCACTGCTTCACCATGCACGGTTGCTCTAATATTTTACTCGAAAGAGGGTACTTTCTTTCTTTCTTTTTTAATCATTTTTTCCCGCAAAGATTTTATTTATTTATTTGACAGAGAGATCACAAGTAGGCAGAGAGGCAGGCAGAGGGGGAGGGGGAAGCAGGCTCCCTGTGGAGCAGAGAGCCCGATGCAGGGCTCGATCCCAGGACCCTGGGCTCATGACCTGAGCCGAAGGCAAAGGCTTAACCCACTGAGCCACCCAGGCGCCCCAAGAGGGTACTTTCAAAACAGGTTCCCGGGGGCCCCTGGGTGGCTCAGTGGGTTAAAGCCTTTGCTTTCGGCTCAGGTCATGATCCCAGGGTCCTGGGATCCATCCCCGCATCGGGCTCTCTGCTCAGCAAGGAGCCTGCTTTCCTTCCTCTCTCTCTGCCTACCTGTGATCTCTGTCAAATAAATTAAAAACAAACAAACAAACAAACAAAAAACAACAAAAAAACCCAGGTTCCCTTTTTATTTCAAATGAAGAGGCTAAAAGTTGCTAGTAGGAATGTTCCACTGATACTAAAATTGATGGAACACATTATAGTGGTGGCTCTCAACCTTGACTGAACTTCCAGAACTACTGATACCTGGATCCCAACTCCAGATTGATTGGAGATGTGGCCTGAGCAGTTGGGGGCTTTTAAAACCTCTTCAGGTGATTTTAACTTGGCCGCCAAAGCTGAGAACCATTGCTTTATACAAATAAACTTTATTTTCCAAGTGAAATCCACTATTAATTATTTGGTTGAATTTGGCATATTTTCTCAAATAGTTGTACTATTTGCTTATTAGTTCATCTTTCACACATAAGCACATCCTGGGTTTAAAATTTTTAGAGCTATTTCGCTTTAGTAAAAATTTGCGTTCATCCAAGACAAGATCTGTAGATAATTGAAAGTATTTAACCTGACTAAGCCTTGGTTCGTTCATCCTTACAGAACTGGGAATTAAATGAGGTATTAGATGTATAAAGCATTATATCCTACTGATGCAAGTATGAAGTAAGCACTAGAGGGTACATGGCCACAAAAAGAATTGAGTAAAAGTGAAAAATTTGTATTTTCTTTAGGTACCTATACGCGTATTTTTGGATCTGTCCTCATTGCCCTGTATACCTTTAAGCAAGCCAGTGGAACTGTTAAGACTAGATTTAATGACTCCATATTTGAACACCTCTAACAGAGAAGTGAAGGTAATACAAAATGATTATTTTTTTCATATTTAGAATTGTCTTAAGCTAGGTAATACTTAATGTACACAAAATAGTATTTGCCACTTTCTTTGACAATTTAAATGTTACTTTTTTTCTAAACAATATCTAAAAATGAGCTTGGGTAAATACTAGTGAATATAGTAGATTGGTATTAATTTGAATTGGGTGATTAAATCTTTATAAAATTTGGAGCTAAAATTGACTAAAAAAACATACTTACTTATCCAGGTCTACTCTACTTACTCTGATAAAATTTTCATGATTTCTTAATTTTCATAGGTACACATTTGTAAATCTGGACAAGTGACTGCCATTCCCTTTTGGTATCATATGTACCTTGATGACGAGATTAGGTTGGATACTTCAGGTGAAGCCTCCCACTGGAAACAAGCAGCAGTTGTTTTAGAGAATCCTATCCAGGTGGAAATGGGAGAGGAATTAGTACTCAGTGTCCAGCACCACAAAAGCAGTGTCAGCATCACAGTAAAGCAATGAAGAGCAGTTTTCTAAGGAAAACTGTCCAGGTAGAGCAGCAAGTACACAATTCTGGTCTGAATTAGTAGTGGAATTGTAATGATAAAATGGGGGTATAAAGATTTAATTCCTTGTAATGGTCAAGTATTTTTAAAAATTGATTAATAAAGTATATTTAAAAGATCTTAAAGAGGAGCATTATTACGGAGATATTGCTGCAGACTTCCTTTCTCAAAAAGGTTGTCACTGATTTTCCAAATTGGCAGTTTGTTTTTATTGCTTAGTTATACTTCACAGTGGTTTCAGTTTTGCTCAATACTCTAGTCTACACTCTATAGCTATAATGATAAGGGATCTGAGTCCCATCTTCATTGTCCTATGCCAGTAAGTAGAGCAAAACTTTTAATTTTTAAGGCATCTTGGTTTTTTTAAGTCCAAACTTCTTAATTGGGATACATCAGAAAGTCAGCTGCCATTAAAGACTGAGGGTTATGGTTACCTGTAAATTTGAAGCCTGCTTCTCTTAAATACTATACTTCTGAAACTCCTTGGGTTTTGTGTTTTGAGAATGCAGACTTCAATTAAGAATTTAAGCTATACGCTAAATCTAAGAGAGTAAAAGTTAGGGATGAAGTAAAATCTGTAGGAGACAGCATTTTTCCTGGTCTACTTTGGCAAAGAAAATTTAAAAAAAACTTGTAAATTCAAGAAAGAGCTAAACCCAAACCAGTGTTTTTTAAAAATTTTGGTCTGAATGCATAGTAAGAAATATATAATTGGCCCAGATTTTAAAGACTTGCAACAGGGAGATTAATAAGACTATCGTGCCTTGTATTTACTGTGTGCTCTTTGTAAGGAAGCCACAAAGAAATTAAGATGCACTTTCTCTCTACATTGCCTATTCTCATCGCTTTACTTTAAATAGAAGTGTTTTTAAGAGTGGAAAGAATGAAGACTGCATTTAATTACTGTGAACAGTACATAAATGTGAAGGTGTGTGTGCATAAATATATGAAGCAAAGATTTTGAGAAAAATATTTATTCTTGCTATTTTAACAACCTGCACTGGCACTTTCTAGATTTCAGTATGTTAAACATTACCCGGTGGGTTGTGATTAGCAATTAGAGAAACTCCATCCTAAGTAATAAATATCTCTGAAATAGCACCTCCACATCTTCTGACTGGGGTTTAATGAGTAATTAAGAATACTCAGCCTAGCTTTGTTTGCTGACACCCTTAAAAGCACTGAGGAAAAGTAGACCCCATTTCTTTTTTTTTTTTTTTTAAGTATTTCATTCATTTATTTGTCAGAGGGAGAGAGAGCACAAGCAGGGGGAGTAGCAGGCAGGGCAGGCAGGCAGAGGAAGAACCAGGGTCCCTTCCAAGGAAGGAAGGAGTTCAATGCAGGACTCGATCCCACGACCCTGGAATCATGACCTGAGCCGAATGGCCAACACCCAACCAACTGAGCCACCCAGGCATCCCTAGACTCCATTTCTATCACAAGGTTCTTATTTATTCTCCTAGTCTTCTATCCAGCTTATTTTCATCTAAAAGTCATGGGTAATCTGTTAATCTATTACCAGTGTTGCAAATAGGATTTTAAGAGAGTAGTTGTTTTAAAGATTAATATTAGGTCCTAGGCTAATTCTCCTAAAAGGAATAGAAGATACATGTGTCTTTTCATTGTAGGTATGCAATTTCTAAACCTTAATCTTTCTGGACTTCTTTTTTGCTGTTCCTCTAATCAAGAACTTTTTGTAAAAACATTAAGGGTTTATGTTTAAAGAAAGAGAGACAAAAAAATTGCAGAAAATAAATGATAAATTCTTATTTATTGAAAGACATCCAGTTGAGAAATAGAGAAATAATTGTTAGGTAGGCATATATGGCACATGATTATGATTAAGTTCCACTAATTCATATTTCCAAATTACACTTTCTGCTAAACCCAGAGCATTATATTCATGCAGCAGTGGTAGGGAGCATTGATTTTTTTTTTTTTTTTAAATGTCCATCCTCTTGATAAAGCAATGTAGTATGAGGAACATTTAGTAGAATCATTTTCTACCATTTGAGTATGTGATACTCTAATGTTAAGAAGAAATCAAGTCTAAGTCTAGGATATTCAGACTAATTATTTGTGATATACAAAACTCAGTCAGTTATATAAATCCAGTAGTTCCACCTGGCTTTCACCTTCTTTGTGTTGAAGTTTTCCATCATTTGTGGCTTGTCCCAAGCACAAAATCCTGAGCAATGGGATACCAGGTAATGAAATAACATGGTAGCAGGAGTAGTTTACTTTTGCACACTGTTCAGGAGGCCACGGATTTATCTATAAGTTCTTTTTTCTCTTCTGTAGTATCATTACATAGTTCATCAGATACATTAGCTGTAGTAGGTGTAGTCTGGGGAGTCACAGTGTGTCCAAACCCTTGGTAGTGACCCATGGGTGAAGGTGGTACAGAAGAGGCAACAGAAATTGCATCTTGTGAAGATGAGGATAACAAGCTTGTATGTTCATTTTGATCTTGATCCTCAGGAAAAAACTTTTTCCTAGGATGTCCCATGACTGTCCTTCCTTTAAAGTAATAGAAAAGTTTCCAAGTTAGCCAAAAGTAGTTTTTACCACTATAAACTTACCATGCTAAGAATAAGTTCTCCCTCCCATCTCTCAATTTGAAGAGCCTTACTGGTACTGCTTTAAACAAAGTCTTTTCATCTCTGAAATAGCTACTAAATTGCCCTAGTAGGAGAACTGCAAGAACCTATCTATTTGGGTGAATGAAATGGCTGGTACTTACCAACATGCCTTACTTGTTCAGAAATATCATCCCTAATATCTGAAACATCCCACATGGCAAGAAAGGAATCAAAGCATGAGCCCTCTTCTGCTTCTTGGACATAGGGTTTATATGAGAAAGTGTAGTGATGAGCAATAGCAGCAAGGAACATCTCAATACAGATGATAAAGTCCTACAATAACAAAAACAAAAAAGCAGCCATCTTTAAGCTTAAATCTAGTTTTGTAGATAAAGGAAAAGCACTATCTTTCTCTCTTCTCAACAAGTATTTGAATATCAACAGCTGTTTTTTCCTCATAAGGTTATATTCATTTTTTCTTTTTCTAAAATAACTATTTTTGATCTCTTTAAAAAAAGAACAAAATGGCAAAAATTTGTATCTATTTTATACTATCTCAGTCAAGTATGTTTTAGCAAAATACAATGTATTCTCAATCCACTGCCCAAAGACTAAGAGAAATGCACAGAGAGAAACTGACTAGGAAAAACCAAATCTAGGTTCTAGTCCTAATTCTACCACAAATTAGTGATGATAGCTAGTCTCTCTAGGTTTCCTCCCTTTCCTCCTCTGCAGAGTGAGGAGAATAGAATCCCCACAGCCTACACGTTGTCAGGTTCAGGAGATAATATGTAAAATGGGTAAACAGTAAAATTTTATTAAGTTCACAGACAGCACTAACCTGGAGTCCTGTAGCCACAGCTTCTACAGTTTGCCATTCCCATGTATGCTTTTCAGAAATAACGCCAACTTTTACCAACAAAGCAATAACTACTGCTTGCCTATATGTTAGGAAAAGGTAAACGCCATATCTATATCAAGCATAAAATGAGCAGGTGTTTTAAAAATATGCCATTTTAAAAAAGTTAAACCCCAGTACAACTTGTGGACCACCATACCACCACCACCCTGCCTTCATAGCATACTCCTGAAGACATTGCACATCTATTGTAAATACATTTATCTGCTTTAAAAGTTTATTCTTCCAGTAGTTTTGTCATACAAATTTTGATTATGCATTCTTATACACATGGAACTTCAAAACTTGGTTTATATGTCTTTGTTTTGAAAGTGTATACAAGTAATTAGATTTTAAGTTCTTCCTATGCCCAGACAATGCCCACAACCTGGAACAATACACATTTAAAATAAAGGACAAGTGTTTTTTTTTACACTTATAATTGTGTAATATATATTTACACATATATTAATTATTCAGATTATTTTTTAAAACATTTTGAAACCAGTCTTGTTAGAAGTGCTGGAACTACAGACAAACTCAGAAGGCACTGGACTCCCAAGGTGGGAGTCAGAATGAACATTTCCAGCACATCCATGGCTATGACCCTAAGGTTAAATTTTAACAGCTAATAATGAGATAGATAAGTTCTGTATGTAAGAATTTTACTTCAATACTGCTTGTAATGGTCAAAGAATAAGGAACAACCTAACTTTCAACAGGAGAGTAGTTAAAAAGTTAGATCCACAGAACAGAATACTGAGTAAAACCATAAAAACCCAAATGGTAAGAAAACTATATCCTCACTTTATTGATAGAGAACTATATCCACAGCATACTGAATGTATCCTTGAATTCAGCAAGTTTTTATGGTATGAAACTCTTTCATACCATTTTTCTGTGGCATTTTATATGTAACATTATCTGCACCACAGTATTAATCATTCTTTCTGGGTGGTAGGGTTTCAAGGATTATTCTTTTTCCCCTTTTTGTACTTGTATACTGTTAAATTTGGTGTATTTGTTTTTAGGTCCCCTATCACCCACCCTTTTTACTAAACTGGGACTATGTACAGTTTTGCTGGGTGGCTCAGTGGGTTAAGCCTCTGCCTTCGGCTCGGGTCATGGTCTCAGGGTCCTGGGATCGAGTCCCACATCGGGCTCTATGCTTGGCGGGGAGCCTGCTTCCTCCTCTCTCTGCCTGCCTCTCTGCCTACTTGTGATCTCTGTCTATAAAATAAATAAATAAAATCTTTTAAAAAAATGTACTTTACTAAGTAAATGAACATTACCTCACATTATTAAATATTCTTATGTTTATCTTTCAAACTATAGACTATTCTCTTATATGAAAGGACCACCATATATTCTTTAATGATTCCTCTAGTGTTGAGACAGTTAGGCTATCTCAAATTATTTTCTTCTTATAAGTGTTATGGTGACCATCTGATTATTTCTTTATGAAAAACCAAGAAGGGCTAAACAGATGAACTTTTCAAAAGGTAAGTAGAGACATTTTAATTCATTTTCTATATTAAAACTATTTTGAAAATCCTCCCTAATCAACAGCGTTATTGCCCTGTAGAAAATGAGAACATTTACATTCAAGAGAAAGCAACACTTACCAAAAAGAAACAAAAACCACCAGTTTTACACAAAGAAATTTGCCAACAGGTTGGATTGGACTCAGTTCTTCCTTCAGTACTTTGTAAAATAGAAGCAGGCAATACATGGCAAACTAGAAACAAAATTAACAACAGTTAAACTTCAATAAGAATAACTAAATACAGTAACAAATAACACAGTTACAAACCAGAGACCTGGTACAGAGTAATGTTTTAGGCAATTTTTTCTAGGTTTTCTATTCTGTTATTTTTATTTTATTTTAAAGATTTTATTTATTTATTTGACAGAGATCACAAGTAGGCAGAGAGCCCGATGCAGGGCTTGATCCCAGGACTCTGGGATCATGACCTGAGCAGAAGGCAGAGGCTTTAACCCTCTGAGCCACCCAGGTGCCCCTATTCTGTTATTTTTAGATTAATAATGAGCTTTTAGAGTTTACTGTGGATGAAATTACAGGATATGAAATTTCTCAGAAGAGACGTATAATGTCTTCCTTGAAAATGTTTTTGAATATTCCCTTATGGGGGCCCATAAGGAAAATAATGAATAAATGACTGTCATGAATGGAGGAAAAGGCCCTCATTCAGCCCAAATAAAAATTATCTGCTGGGCGCCTGGGTGGCTCAGTGGGTTAAGCTGCTGCCTTCAGCTCAGGTCATGATCTCAGGGTCCTGGGATCGAGTCTCGCATCGGGCTCTCTGCTCAGCAGGGAGACTGCTTCTCTCTCTCTCCTCTCTCTCTCTCTCTGCCTGCCTCTCTACTTGTGATCTCTCTCTGTCAAATAAATAAAATCTTTAAAAAAAATATATCTGCTTATTAGACAACACAGTAAATAAGTACTATTTGACTAAAATTATGGCCATGAAATATGAAAGGAATCAGGGAAACAATTTTTCTTGAGGGCAGTATGTTAATCCAGCTCAATTTATTTTTTTTTAAATAACTTTTCAAGACTATTGTTTATTTTTAGAAATCAGTTGTAACAACCTAGTGCATTGTACATACAAATAAACATTTCCCTAGAAGTTTAGTTTTCCCCATTACAATTATATAAAATGTTCAGGTAAAATATTTTAGAATATGAAAGCAATAAAGAAAAATACAAGGCTGCCCATAGTCTCATTATCCAATCATTCCCTTCTACACAAAAGGTGCTTTTTAACAGGTATCATCAACTAAAATGTAAAATTTTGTTGCCTGACTTTTCCCCCACTTTAAGTATGTTACTTTTTCTAGTTTCACAGGCTCGATCATGACCTGAGCTGAAGGCAGACACTTAACCAACTGAGCCACCCAGGCGCCCCAGACAGTTATTTTTTTAGAGCATTTCAGTTTCTAGATCGTACTTTTTAAAAAAGGCATTCACAATTTTCCTTTATTCCAAATATATGAGAGAAATTTATTCCTCCATTTTTTCTTCTTTAAAGATTTTATTTATTTTTATTTGACAGACAGAGATCACAAGTAGGCAGAGAGGCAGGCAGCGGGGTTCGGGGGCGAAACAGGCTCCCTGGTGAGCAGAGAGCCCGATGCGGGGCTCGATCCCAGGATCCTGGGATCATGACCTGAGCTGAAGGCAGAGGCTTTAACCCACTAAGCCACCCAGGCGCCCCTTATTTCTCCATTTTTATTCAAACCTGGTACTGGAGCGCCTGAGTGGCTCAGTTGGTAAGCGTCTGCCTTTGGCTCAGGTCATAATCCAAGGGTTCTGGGATCGAGCCCTGCAGCTGGCTCCCTGCTCAGTGGAGAGCCTGCTTCTCTTCCTGTTTGTGCTGCACGCTCATGTGCGCTCTCTCAGATATAGATAAATAAAATCTTTAAGAAGAAAAAACCCAAATATTTTAAAAAACCCAAACAAACATGGTACTGTCATATACCAATTACACTTTTTTTTTTTTAAGACATAGACATTTTCTCTTTTTGAGTATGCCTAGGTTATGTGTTTTTTAAGGAGAACACTGTGCTTTCATTTATGATATCCACACAAGTATGTAATGACTACCAGAACCAAATGAACAAACATGAACAACAGGTCAAGGTAAAAGTCACCAGATAATTTACAAAGATACTGTATTTTTATATATGTATAAAGACATGTTAAAGTTTCTTCAAGTTCTTTCCTATAAATTGAATTTCAAAATTAAAATATAATGAACTTTATTCCCAAAGAAACTTCTAAGAAAATTAAGAGTCAAAGATACTAATTTAATGCAATTAAAATTAATATTTACTCACCAACTGTGACATGTTGTTTATTATAACCAAATAAGTCCAAGCATTCGAAAAGCTAAAGTTTCCTTCATCATATATACCAAGCAGCTCACAGATTCTTAAAATGGTAAAAATGAGATTTATGATTAACTAAAACAAAATATAGTTTAAAACACAGCACTGACAGTAATACTTAAATATACAAATCGGTTTATTTAAAAGACCCCATAGATAAGACCCCACTTGATTTTTGGTCACAGAGGTTTAAAATGAAAAAAATTTTCCAGTAATGCTACCATATTATTATCCCTCATCTTAAATCCAAAATAAGACACATACATTGAATTAGAGGAGGTAATTACTAGATTAAAAAAAATTAATGTCACCTAATTTTGAAAACCTTGTTAAGGTATGTAATGCGAGTCAATAAATAAAACTATAATTTTTTCCCCAAACTATCTTAGGAGGTAAATTTTATGAATACCCAGATCTCAGAATTAACTTACATGATTCCCCAGTTTCTAAACTGCAGACAAAGCATGGCTTCATAAATAAATTAGTTTAATTCTAAGGTAAATGTTACTAAAGAAATGCTAGCTCAAAGGTAGAATAAAGAAATGAATGCTGCTTTCACCTTTCTTCCCCCTCTTCTCCGAACATGCACAATTATGATTAACAGATAAAACATGTAATCTATTCACTTTATCTGATATTCTTAAATTTTTAGGGAATAGTTTTACCAGATAGCTTAATAATATGCCATTTTACCTCATCTCCTAAGCCTTGTCAGATTTCTTACAAAAGAAAAATATGACTCATCCTTGAAATCTAGTACTCATATTCTAGGTTAACCATATAAAAATAAAACCATATAATGAACCTAAGGTAGCATATTTTAACTTCATGTAACAGATGTTTTTGTAGAGCTTTGTGAACATTAATATTCGAAAAAAAAAAAAAAAAAAAAAGCATTTTTAAAATGTTTCCCAGAAAGCTGTGGAGACTGTTATTTAGAAGAATTCTTTGGTGATTCTCTGCTTATAAATGATCATCTTATTTATTTTTTATAGTAGGGTTTCTACATACTCTGTTTTTTATAACAGACTAGATCTATAGCATAAACAAGTAAATTAATGCTCTTTGTGCATCCTCTTGTGAAGTCAGAGCATGAGGATTTTAAAAAACGGTAATATAAATTCTTTGTACTTACAAAGCAACAATGGTGGTGAAAGGTCTGACCACTGTATACTGCAAAACACCCAGTTTGCACCTGAACAGCAATACTCTGCCAAAGAGTGGGGAAAAAAAACTTAGCATTTCAACTACTCATTTAAATAGTAGCAGATTTTCTCCAAAGCCCCCCAAATTAAAATCACTTTGACAAATGATGCCATACTTATATTTCATTCTTTTAATCTTGTCATTCTAAATGATAACTGGGGAAGAATGTAGATGGTGGCAAACATTGTTTAAATGCTGTTTTGAAAATTATTTGACAACTACATCTTCTGAAAGATTTCCCTTTCTGTGTTCAGTCTCAAATTCCTGATTACTACAGTACAGAAGGAAGTGTATCCCTGTATGTTTCTGGAAAGACTGAGTAACAAATGAACTGTATGCATGGAAATGTGAAAGCATATTCAGAAGTTATTATTTACATTTAAGGTTCAGTTTCAAGTTTGGAATTTAAATATCATTCCAGAGAGTATCACTGATTAGATATTATGAAAGGACAAAAAAAGATCCTGCATAAACAGTTTTTATCCTATTGCTGGGCTCACTCAACATAGGAGAAAATTCACAAGGAGTAACAAAACAAAAAGTCCGGAAATAAAAAAGGCTCTCTACCTGACAGCCTTGTGCAAGCTTTCTTAAAAGACCAAATTGCTCTGAGGGCAAATGCTTTATTTAGCACTACTATCAGGAGAACTGATTATCAGTGTTAGGTATTACAAATCCCCTAATTTTAAGAATTATTACATCTAGGGGCACCTGAGTGGCTCAGTCAGTTAAGTGGCTGACTCTTGATTTCAGTTCAGGTCATGATCTCAGGGTCCTGGGATCGAGCTCCATGCTGGCCTCTGCAGTCAGCAGAGAATCTGCTTGAGGAGTCTCTCTTCCTCTGCTCCTCTCCCCATGTGCACTCTCTCTCTCAAATGAATAAATAAATCTTAGAAAAAAAAAAAAAAAGAATTACATCTAAACAGAAGACTGAGAATCTGGCATTCAAGCCTTGAGGTGTTAATAAAACTGAATAAAGAAACTGTTGGGGTTCTGTATGCTGACAGCCTTCTCCCTGCTGAGGTGGTTCACTCCCATTTAAAGCCAGTGTGCCCCATGTGGGGGCCTAAGGGGTGCACTTGGGCTTGTTGTAAGACCTCCTGAGAGAATGCCTTGGCTATACATGCTGTGCTTCCTGCCCCATACGCTTTATAAATAGGGTCAAGTCAATTAGCTACCTTTGAAAGCTGTAGAGAATTACTGAACTGGAAGATGTATTTGAAGAAATTGCCCAAAATGTAGCAAAGGCTGAGACAAAGAGAAATTGTGAAAGAGAGTTACAAAGAACTGAACAAAATCAGAAGATCTAACATATATTTTTAGTTACAGACGACAGTAGAGGAAAGGCAAAATCAGAAGAGATTATGGCTAGGAACTCTGCATAACCGATGAAAGATAAAAATCTACAGGTTGAGGCACCCTGTTGAGGCACCCTGTAAATTAGGGAGGACTAAAGCAGAAACAAAACAATCTAAATACTTCATGGTGAATCTGCAAAACATCGAAAACCGGGTCTTAAAATGCAGGTGGAGACAGATCATCTATAATGGAGTAACAAACTGACAGGAGAAGCTTAACAGTAATAATCGAAGGCAGAATTAGGAAGAATAAGCTCTTCAAAATGCTTGGAGAAAATTCCTGCCAACATAGAATTACACCCAACAAAACTGCCTTTCAAGAATGAGGGCAAATAAAGATACTTTTGGATAGGTGTACCTGAGAAAATTTGACACTGCTACATTGACACTGCAGGGAACTTTTAAGGGCCAGACTTTAGAGAGAAGGAAATGATCCCACAGAGTGTTGAAATGCAAGGAGTGCAGAGTAAGTAAATTTTTAATATTTGTACTTAAATCTACAAAAGATTGAAAAAAACCCTGTCCAGGGCGCCTATCAGTGGGTTAAAGCCTCTGCCTTCAGCTCAGGTCATGATCTCAGGGTCCTGGGAACGAGCCCTGCGTCAGGCTCTCTGCTCAGCAGGGAGCCTGCTTCCTCCTCTCTCTCTCTCTGCCTGCCTCTCTGCCTACTTGTAATCTGTCAAATAAAAATAAATAAAATCTTTAAAAAAATGCAAAAAAAAGTGTCTAATTTTTAAGATTAAAGTTAGATTTTAAGTAGTTACAGTAAATTTTAGACTCTAAGTATTCATGATAACATCAGAAACTATGTAACTTTTAAACCAGTGGTAAAAAATGGAATAAGAAAAAAAAAATGGAGTAAAAAAATGAAAATAGCAACAATAACAAAATAATTAACTACCAGTGGAATCTGGAGTAGCACCCAGGTAAAAAACAGGTTGATATAGCTGCAATAAAATACATATTTTTCTAACAGGTGAAATAGTCATGTTAAAATTATAACTTGTAAAAGATTATACCCCGTTCTGCTACTATATGAGCTGTGAAAAAGCTTTTGGTTTTCAAGGTTTCTTAAAAAGTATTTTATAATAAAAAATCTATAATATATTATTTGTTAAATGTGGGTGTTTTAAAACAGATTTTTCTGTTTACATTTGTTTGTATTCCTCTGTTTGGAAAACTTTAAAATTATTTACTACAATCTTCATTAAAATGTGGATTCCTGAACTGGATCCTAGAAAGAAAAAGGACATTAGTGGAAAAACTTGGGCAATCTGAAGAGTCTGCAATTAAAAGTATTATACCAATGTACTTTCTTTTTTTAAGATTTATTTATTTTAGAGAGAGTGCATGCACACGCGCATGTTGAGTGGGGGGAGGGGCAGAGGGCGAGAAAGAGAATCTCAAGCCAGCTGAGCACAGACCCCCACACAGGGCTTGATCTCAGAACCCTGAGGTCATGACCTAATTTGAAATCAAGAGTCCGACACTTAACTGACTGAGACACTCAGGCACCCCACCGATGTATTTCTTAGTTTTGACAAATGTACCACGATTACATAAGATGTTAAACATTAGGGGAAGCTGGGTAAGGGTGTATTATAAATCTGTCTTGTCTTTGCATCTTTACTGTAAATTTAAAATTATTCTAAAATAAAGGCTTACTTTAAAAATGGAGTCAGTGATAAAAGAATAGAAGACAAAAAGAAAACAAACAGATGGCAAGATTTTAAATGATTATATCAATAATCAAAAAAATCTAAATGGGCTAATTTAAGTGATGAACTGTCAGATTAGAATTCAAAAAATACTAAACTTAAAAGAAGTAATATATCTAAAACATAAGGAAATGGAAAAGATGAAAGCCAAAGGTAGAGAAAGATATGCCAGGCAAATACTAAACAAAAGATGGGAAACCTATTAATATCAGACAAAATAACTTTAAGACAAAAACTTTTTTTTTAATTAGAAAGGATGCCTGAGACTGAAGGGGGAGGGGCAGAAGAAGGTAGAGGGAGAGAGACTTAAGCAGACTCCATGCTCAGCTTGGAGCCCAATGCAGGGCTTGATCTCATGACCCTGAGATCATGACTTGAGTCAAAAATCAATAGTTGGATGCTTAACTGACTGGGCCTCTCAGGCACTTAAGACAAAAAAGATTATTTGGAATAGAAACAGCATCAAAATATATAAAACAAAAACTGACAGAAGTACTGAAAGAAAGTGACAATCTGGCAGAATTTAAGTATCTTTTTCAGTAACAGTACAAATAGTCAAAATCAACAGAAATACAGAGAATTTGAATAACACATAAGCTTGACCCCATCATGCACATAAATATAACACAGCCATTGATTAATATAGAATATACATTCTCTTCAAACATACAAAACCTTTATAAAAACTGATCATGTACTAAGGAAATGAAACAAATCTTAACCAATCCTAAAGGCTGTCTCAGAGAGAGTATATTCTCTGACTGCAATGAAAAGAAATAAAATGAAAATCCACCCCAAATCCTGTTTGGAAATTTAAAAATATTCCAGAATAACTCTGGTAAAGAAAAAATCCCAATAGGAATTTAAAATGGGATGATAATGAAATTACAGAACATAAAATCTGGGATCTATGGGATATTAACTAGATTTACTGTGGTGACCATTTTGCAATACATATAAATATTGAGTAATTATATTGTACAACTGAAATTAATATAATGTATGTCAATTACATTTCTATAAAAAAAACTGGAATTCAGTGAATATAGAACTTGAAGGGAAATATACAGTTGTTAATGCAGTATTAAAAAAGGGGATGGCTGGCTGGCTCAATCAGAAGACCAAGTGACTTGATCTTGGAGTGGTTATGTTCAAGCCCTACATTAGGTGTAAAAATCTGTTAAAAAATTTAAAAACTCTCAAAAAAAAAAAAAAGAAAGGCTATGTATAGTGAGCTAAGGCTCTAACATGTTAGGAAAAGATAGTAAACCAAAAGAAATGGGAAAAAGGAAGTAAAAATGGGCAGAAATTAATGATAGAGAAAACCAATATATTACACAGAAAATCAACAAAGCCAAAAATCAGTTCTTTAAAATTTTTATCATTTTAAATTTTTTAAAAGATTTTATTTAGTTGAGAGAGAGAGTGAGCAGAGTGAGAGCGAGCACAAGTTGGGGGGAGGGATCAGACTCCCCACCGAGCAGGGAGCCTGATGTGGGGCTTGATCCCAGGACCTCAGTATCATGACCTCAGCCGAAGGCAGATGCTTAACTGACTGAGCCACCCAGGTGCCCCCAAAATCCAGTTCTTGAAAAGACTAGTAAAAATAGGCAAACTTCTGACAAGATTGTTCAAGGAAAAAAATAAAGATACAAACAGCATTACAAATGAAAAACGAATCATAACAAGAGATCCAGAAGAGAGTGAGAAGATATATAAATGTATGCCCATAAAGATTTATTTATTTGAGAGAGTGTGTGTGCGTGTATGAGTTGGGGCAGGAGGGGGAGGAGAGAGGGAGAGAGAATCCCAAGCAGGCTCACTGCTGAGCTTGGAGCCCAACTTGGGGCTCCATCTCAGGATCCCGAGATCAAGCCCTGTACTGAAACTGAGGAGGGCGCTTACCTGACTGAGACACCCAGATGGCCCTGCCTATACATTTTTAAACTTTTTTTTATTCTGCCTAATTCCTAAAAATTTTATTTTTTAAAAAATGATTTCAGAAACAACAGGATGCCTAAATAGTTCTATACTTGTCCTCCCATAAAGTCCAGGTCTAATCTTCAATGGTATAGTTACAGTCTTTTCCTGTGACACACAAATAAAAGGTGATAATGCCTATTCAGGCAGTATAACTTGGATATGAAAATCAGACAGGAACAATTTAAAAAAGGAAAATTATTGTCTAATCTCACTCATGAACAGAGATGTAAAAATTCTAAACAAAATATGAGCAAACCAGACCTTGTGGTGTAGCAAAGCAGATGATACATCTTTATCACTTTGAATTTATCCTTGAAATACAGGGGGTTTTAACATTAGAAAAGCTATTAATCTAATTCACTAATTTAACAGGTTTAAGGCAAAAACCAACCATCTCAAAAGATACAGAAAAAGCATTTGATGACATTTAATCATTTACTCATTAAAAATTCAAACAAGCCAGGAGTAAAAGAGAGCTAGCTCATTTAACTTGACAAAGGATGCCTACAAAACACCTTTAAAAACATAAAATTCCATTACATTTTATAAGAATTCCCTTTACAATCAGGAATAATGTAAGAATATCTAGGGCTACTCAACAGCACGGTGAGAAGAGAAATATACAGTATAGACTGGAAAGCAAAGAGATCCTTCACTTGAAGAGGACTATCTTCACAGAGAACTTAGAAAGATCTACAGACTAAGAAAATGTAACAGGATTTTTGGATATAAGACCAACATTCCAAAACCAACTGCCTTTCTACACACTGGAAGCAATTAAAATGATTTTTAAAATAGATGCCATTTATAATATCAATAAATATGTTTATAAAATCAACAAAGATATGGAAGACTTTTGAAAGTTCATTTGAGGAAATGTACTTTACTGAAAGGTAAATGAAGAGCTAAATAAGTAGAAAACTAGACCATAATCATGGTAAGACTCAAAAAATCATAAAGATGTCAATAAACCAAAGACAATTCAATTACAATAAAAAAAAACAACCCACAGGTTTTTAAAGCAACTTGCCAAATTGTTCCTAAAGTTTATATGTAAGAGCGAAGACCCAAAAATAGCCAAGATAATAGGGTCAGGGCCCTTGCCCCTCACTTTAAGGTTTATTAATAACTTGTAGTAGTAAGTATATGGAATTGGTCCAGGAATAGAAAAGTTAACCAATAAAACAGAAGAAAAACAAAAAAAACAAAACAATAAGCCACAGACAGACCCATACACGTTGAAACCTGACATAAGACAGAGACAGCAAGATCAATGAGTGAGGGAGAAGGGAGAGAATGGTGGTAGGACAATTAGCTATTAGAATAAAATGAAACTGCATTTCTACCTCACACAACATAAAACATCGAATGTTTATAAATCTTAATGAGAAATTTTTGAAATCTTTATAAGAAAAGCACAGGACAATGTTTTTTGTAATCCTGTAATTGGAGTAATTTTTTGAACAAGACACACAAAAGTACTGACTATAAAATAAGATAAATTTAACTATATTAAAATTAAATTCAAAACTTCTATTTATCAAAAGATTTAATAAAGGTGGCAAAGCATGCCAAAAACTATAAAAAAGGTATTTTCTATACACACTAAACAAAGATTTGTATCTAAATATATAAATATCCCCTACAAAGCCATGAGACAGACAACCCATTAAAAAATGAGAAACAAGGTGCCTGGGTGGCTCAGTTGGTTAAGCGACTGCCTTCCGCTCAGGTCATGATCCTGATCCCATGTTCCGGGATCAAGTTTCGCATAGGGCTCCCAGTTGCGCGGGGAGTCTGCTTCTCCCTCTGACCTTTTCACCTCTCATGTTCTCTCTCACTCTCTAAGAAGTAAAATCTTAAAAAAAAAAAAAAAAGAAAGAAAGAAAGAAAGAAACAGAAACAAGAATTCCTTGGGAAAGGAAATACAAATACTTAATAAACATAAAAAGTTCTTTAACCTCATTACTAATCAAGGAAATCCAAATTAAGACCACAGCAATATACCACTTTATATTCCCTTGACAGGCAAACATAAAGAAGTCAGGGTAATTCCAAATGTACGTGAGTATGTGGTTCAAGTAGAAGTGTTTTATACTGTCAGTGGGAGAGGAATATGGTACAGCCACTTCAGAAAACAATTTACCACTAACAAAGCTGAACAAAACCTAAAGACTTAGCATGGTACACACCCTAGGGCAATTTTTTTCAAACTGTCAAATTTAATTTGTTAGGCCATGACCTGAATTTTAAAAACAAGAGGAAGGAAAGGAATATAAAGTAAGGATTAGTACCATTTCATGAAACCATTTCTTTCACTAGTATACTAAATCAACTGGTAAATGGTTTCCCCTCCTCCATACAAAATTTAAGGTTCACCGAAAGAAAACTCAATGTGCTCACTGTTTATGTTACAGCAAGAGGACAAAAAGTTGACCTAGTTTTTTAATCAATTAACAACTGCAAACTTGCCATGCTATTTACATCTTATAACCAAAGCACTATACTGAATTATCCTAAACAGCAGAGCCTAATTAATTATCAGATTTGTAACACCAGTTACCTACTAGAGGGAGACTGGTAACCTACAATGCATTTATACATAAGAGCCGTTTTATTATTACTAAAACCAACCTCTAAATTACATAACATAGGTAAACACTTAATCTTTTTTCAAAGCAAAGAATACCTGAGTTATAACCATGGATGCACTGCTGACATTATTCAGGCAGCAGCTGTCAAAATTCAAGTCTCAGGAAAAAAATGAAACCAACTCAGAGATTTAACAAGAATAAATGTAATTGTGTAGTGAGGAACAAATCAATTCCACAAGCACAGACTAGGGGGATTTTGACCAGTAGTTTCCCTTGAAAAAGGTTTGGGGTTTTAGTGGACCCCTAGCTAATTGTGATGAGCCACCTTGTAGAGAGCTAGAATCTCATTTTAGGTTCTGTAGTATTAGGAGGAGAGTCCTAATCAAAGCCAAGCCATCATCATTGTATTTACTGGATCACTGCAATCTCTTCCATCCTTGTCCACTCTTAGTTCAGTCTACAAAGAGCACAATAATCTCTGAAAATGAAATTTGGGCACTAGTCCTCTATTCAACATCCTATAATGGCTTCTCACTATCCTGACCAAACTTTAGACAGGTCTCCTCTGTCTTTTCTTTTCTTTTCTTTTTTTTAAAGATTTTATTTATTTATTTGACAGACAGAGATCACAAGTAGGCAGAGAGGCAGGCAGAGAGAGAGGAGGAAGCAGGCTCCCCGCTGAGCAGAGCCTGATGTGGGGCTCCATCAGGACCCTGGGATCATGACCTGAGCCAAAGGCAGAGGCCTTAAACCACTGAGCCTCCCAGGCGCCCCCTGAGTTGTCTTTTCAACTAGGCATCATTCTCAGGCCTTGTCCTTGGCCTAAGTCAGACTGAGTAAGAATACTGCTAAGTCATCCCCCTACCCCTGATACCTGATTACCCTTGATACTTGCTAAGCTCCTCACCCCCAGTCTTGATGTGTAAGTGCTTGGTCTGCCCGTCACAAGAATTCTATTATGCCATTTTAAAGAGAATCCCCCTTCCCTTGATGTCTCCTCTCAGGTATTTTCCATCCAGTGATCACCTCAATCTGCTCATTAGCTATAAATCTCTCTATCCATATTGTATTTGTTGCTGGGCACAGTATCTCTCCCCCATTTCAAACTTAAAATAGTTTTCTTTTACTATTCCTCTTTCATAGTCTTTTCCTTTACCTTCATAGCATTTCCTGATGTAAGTAACTCTATATTTGTGTCTTCATTTAATTCCAAACGTCCGAACCGAAATGTAGGTTCTATGAGTTCTACATCTGTTATATGCACTAGAATATATCTGTATATTGGCACATACTAAGTGCTCAATACATATCAAGTGTGTTAATGAACATATTAAGAGCTTACCATTTAAAACAGCTAGGTAGCTCCCTGTCATTGCAAGTGTGTAAACTAGAGACATATATAGTCCCAATGTTGGACAAATGGTTCTGTATTGCATAGTAGGCAATACAGGTCTCCCTAGGTTGTAGATCTACACTGATTACTGTAACTCCAAATCATTCCAGTTATCTTGACTGGCAACTTTCACCTTAGTCCCCATTATCAGTGATCAAGTCCTACCAGATCTTCAGTTGCAGCCTCTTCCTTTCATTCTAATTTCATCTCTCTTCAGCTTATCTCACAAATGGACTAAAATAACAACTTCCTAATTTATTTCTCCATTTCTGGAATCTTCCTCCCTCCAATGCATTCAGTATTGCAAAATTAATCTTTCTAAAATGGTACCTTCAAAAGTTTCCTTGATGAAAAATATTCAATGGCTCATTCATATAAAAAATGCAATCTTAGCTTCAACTAAAATTTTCAGGCTTTATTTTTCTTTATTGTCCTCTATGGCTATAGAATAAGGCCAACAGACCATTATATAGTACTAGAATAAACACTAAACACTTACCCACTTAGACTATCTTATCCCGGGGTCTTACACCTGATCTTGCCATTAACTAGCTATGTAATCTTAATCTCTGTAGATCCTGGGTCTCAACAGTAAAAGGATGTTGACTAAATGATTCATAGAGTTTTCTTCTCTGCAAGTCGTCTATTTATGTATAATGTTAATATTATGTATAATGTACAAGAGAGTTCGTTTGTGTGGATTATAAAAATGTGTTTTCATACTCTTTAAACTTGACTATGAACTACTTGAGGGTGGGAACTCTTCTTAAACTTTCAGTCCTGCTCCTAGTACTTAACATGCTGCTTTACAGAGAAATGACTGGTGCTTAAAAATTTTGTTTAAATACATAAAAAGATTAAATAAGTCATACTTACTCTCCCATAGTCCATGGTGGACAGCAACACAATGGAGGGAAATGTTTCTGCTGATCTTTGGCTTCAAGGATTAATACCAGATTTGGATACCGGTTAGTTAGATAATTGGTAAGGAATCCCATAAAGTTGTAAATGACATAAGCTTCATAACATTCCCTGCAGGTATCCACATATATTGCAATGCTGGGGTATTTCAAAGCTATCCACTATAAAAAACACAGATGTTAAAAATAGTTGCAGCTAAACGAACTGCCATTCCAATTCATGGTTATCACAATGCTAAGTTTTAAACTTGATATTTACATCAAACTTTCTAAAATTTATGAGAGCTACCATATAATCTGTGAAATGAATTTTTAAAAGCAAAAAAGGTACTGGATACTGGTAAAAACATTCGTGTTGGGGGGGTAAATAGTATGAAGAAAGAAGCTAAATTATTCTGTAATTAGGTTCTTAAATATCTGAAATTTTTCTTGAGATGATCATAGAAAATGCAATTAGAGATATTTCCTTTATATTTAACCAAATTAAAGCAGTGATCTGTGACATGCATGTCTGAATCCATCAGGGAAGGGTTTTTATCCCCCAAACAAAAGATTTACTACATAAAAAGGATGATAATGTAATTTTAAATACTATATTCTTTAAAGGACTAAGAGCTAGTACTTAGAAATTTTACACGATTAAGCAAAGAAAATAGCTATAGATTTTTTAAAATTTAAAACACCCATCTTTTCTATTGTCGTACTTCATCTTTTTTACTAATATTAAAAACAAGTGAATCTTTGCACTTTTCTTACTAATCTGACTCCTTATTGCCAAATTAATAAACTTTCATTACTGTAAGCATTCTGTAAATATAGTTATATCATCAAGCAAGTTCTTAGCTAATGAGATAAAATTAAATATACTTACACTATCTAAACTGTATATAGGTACCATCCAAAGAATCCTAGTTGGAAAGCAAAGCATAAATTAAAAACATTTTACATCACAGTTATGAAATAAGTGAACATAATACTAGAATAATTAAAATATATTCACACTTACCTTATTATTGGTTTCTGTAGTTCCGGTTGTGTATAATGCACTAAATGTTGCAATATCACCCATAGCGATATAGGTATAGTCAATAGCAAAAAGATTCCAGCAATAAACCAAGCCTTGGTGTGTATTCCAACCTTTAAAAAAAATAAATATTAATAAAATAAATCCTGATATTATAACTGAAAAGCTAAATAGAGAATCACAGGCAGGCTCCATGCTCAGGATAGAGCCCAACTCAGGGCTTGATCTTATGCCTTGAAATTACGACCTGAGCTGAAATAAGAATCAGACACTTAACTGACTGAGCCACCCAGGCACCCCCAAAAAATCTTTTCTGGTCTACCCCTTTGCTTTTATGTTAGAGAGTTAAAATCCTACCTACATTTTCTGTGAATTTTATTGTTACCCAACATGTTAATAGAACATGTACAGAGTATTGCCTAATAACTTTATTGTTTTTTATATGTGTTATGTTTTTTAACCCTCCCACTTGATAAGTACTGCCAGTACTGTCCAAATAAACTGTGTTAATTCATGCTACTTCTATTATATATAACAGTATCAACTCAGGATATTACATTTTAAAAAGCTCTAATTTCATTTTTTAGGTATCTGATCAATATTTTATCCTTTAAAAGCTCACTCAATTTCTAAAAATATACTTTGGATGATTTTTTTTAAAAGATTTTATT